TTACCTTTTTTCCAAACCCCCCCCCCCCCTTTTTTTTTTTTTTTTTTTTTTTTTTTTTTTAACCAAGAAGCAAAGCAAATAGTTACCAAGTATACATGTTGATGGTAGGATGGACAAGGGGTAATATCCTGTCCTGTGAGTCAGGAACAGCATATTCTTAGTGAAGGACAGGGGAAAGATTTCTTCCAGTTGTTTTTCATGTTTCTGTGTTGTGTGGTTTTCATATTTACCTTTTAGCATTCAAAAAACTCTCAGCTATTTTGGATCCCTCTTTCTAGCTTTTGTTTCTGGTAATGTGGACAGCAAATGGACTCCATAAAGGCCTTCTCTTTATAGGGGAAGTGATTGCTTGTGACTTTGACTTCCTCCAGTCTATGCCATGGTTCCTTAAATTCTGATTTGCCTTCTGTTTTGTTTATTGCTGTGTTCCTTTGGCAAAATTTCTCAAACCTAAATATTTACAATAAGTTGTAAAAGCAAAGCAAATAGTTACCAAGTATGTGATACATGTTGATGGTAGGATGGACAAGGGGTAATATCCTGATGCTTGAGTCAGGAACAGCATATTCTTAGTGAAGGACAGGGGAAAGATTTCTTCCAGTTGTTTTTCATGTTTCTGTGTTGTGTGGTTTTCATATTTACCTTTTAGCATTCAAAAAACTCTCAGCTATTTTGGATCCCTCTTTCTAGCTTTTGTTTCTGGTAATGTGGACAGCAAATGGACTCCATAAAGGCCTTCTCTTTATAGGGGAAGTGATTGCTTGTGACTTTGACTTCCTCCAGTCTATGCCATGGTTCCTTAAATTCTGATTTGCCTTCTGTTTTGTTTATTGCTGTGTTCCTTTGGCAAAATTTCTCAAACCTAAATATTTACAATAAGTTGTAAGTCTGGTCAATATCTCCGTTGTTTAGTTTTTCTATTTAACTGTTGACTGATCCTTTCCTCCTTTTGCGGAAACGCTTCCATATATAATCTTAGTATTACCTGCTTTTTCCCTTGGGCATTTTCTTTCGGTCTCTCCACTTTCTTTTTCTTGGGAGATATGTTAGTAATATGAAGTTCTGGGTGAGAGGTATTTTCAGTTTTTCTTGTAGCATTTCTTGAGGTGCTTCCCTTGCTTATATAGCAGTTGCTGTCATATCTGTGGCAGTAAATTCTTTAAATCTTTAGATTATTATATTTTATCCATATTCACATACCTGGGCCAAAGTATTTACACTGTAGACAGTGAAGGAAGGGTCCTGAATAACTGGAAAGTGTCCCATTTATGTTTTCTCTAATGTGACAGTTTTAGGACTGTGCAACTAGTGCATGTTTGTATGTGTCTTGCTATTGCTAGAAGTTTCGCTACTGCCTAAAATACTTCTTTATGGGGTGTAAGTGTGGCTTCTGATTGCTTGTTTAATGATTATTAAGTTGCTCCACAATTTTTGTGTGGTTAAGTCTTAGCTCTAGGGAAGAGCAGGTGTATGCATGGGTGTGGCCCTGTTGTGTATATTGAAATAATTTTATAGTATTACCAACTAACATGTTGAAAACTTGATATTAACAGTAATTTAAAAGAATTAAGCGCCTAAGTAGAAGGTGAAAAGACTCTCTAAAAGCTGTTTTTCTTGTTGGTCTTTTTAAATGATGTTTTTTCTTTCTGTTTCTAGGTTTTCTCAAATACTGATGAAGCCCTTATTAACAAAAAACTACCCAAAGAACTTCTGTTAAGGTAATTCTACATAATGTGTTAAGGAGTAAAAATCTGAGGATTGTACATTGCTTATGTGGCTTACAGACTATCAAGTGCTATTCATTCTTTCTTAAATCTGTCTTGAAATAAATAGCAACATATCTGATTTAATTCTTGGAATTCTTGAACTTGTTGTCTTTTGGTTAGTCTTGATTTGTTTTAATGTGTACAAATTATACTGTACCATGGAGGATGTCATTTAATACTGATCTTTTCCTTGCATATCAGAAAAAGTGGTGAAATAAAATGTCCAAAAAGCTTTGGTGTACAGAGTAGTCAACTCTTCCATGCTGCACAATGTTTTATCTGTCTGAAGAGCCTATAATCCTTTCTCTAATATAGTTCACACTCTTCGTGTCATGAACTTTGTTACAACAAAATAAAATATAAATTCAACTTCAAAGCTTTCAAAAAGTCACTGCAGTGAAAAGCGCTGCCTGTTGCCATTACTGCCAGTCTGTTATATGAGGTAGAACCAACAGGAGGATTTTTCTTACTGTGGTCATTCGGCTAGTCATAAATTTCATCAGCTTGCTGGTGTGTGAGTAGATCACCTTTGCAGGAGTTAGCTACAACACCAAGATCAGTAAGTTTAGCCCGTGGTTGAGACACTGATGGATGTCTTCATGCTCTCATCCTGTTGAAAGTTGATTTCAAGCGAAGTGTAACTGCCAAATGTGGCGATACCGCTCGACTGGATGTGACCACTTCAGAGATGGAACTGAACCAGCTCAGCAACATCTTCTGTTACCTGCATATAGGTTTTGTTGCAGCCCACTCTTTGAGGGGAAAGAAAAAAAAGAAGGTGTTCACTTATAATGCTGCAATTAGTTTTTAGTGATGGTATTAAAATTGAGCTGATGATTTCTTCTTGATACACTAAAGAGATGTTTGGGTTAGCTTGTATGTATGTCATTGCTTCCTGTTTGATTTGAAGTGGGAGGATGTCGCAAATAATGGTATTTTGCATCTTGTGTCTGAAGAAAGTGCTTTTAAAACATTATGACTTCTTTTAGTGTCTGTACTATCACAGTGTTCTCTTGGTGGTATTAAAGAAGCAGTCTGTTGTTAAAGGAATTGAATTTTAAAAGGATTTTCATTTTTGTTGAGAAATACTCATTCCATATGGTGACAGTGTTGTAAATTAGACTCGTAGAACTGTTTAGAAAATGTGATTAAAAGAGATGCGTCACTGTATGATGCCCTGAACAGAAATTCTGATAACTTTTGCTTTGTTGCACTCAATACCACACATGAACCACAAGATACAAGTCAATTTAATATGCTGCCTCCTTAGCAAAGAATCATATAATCTGCAAGCACTTTTTTTCTAGCAGTAGGACTCTCCAAATATCTGTGGAAATGGCTGTCCTTTTCACTGTTATGGGTGCTAAGTATCCCATTTATGTAATTCAACAGAATTTGTTGATGTGGTTTAGACAGTGAAAAGTATCGTGCACTGTAATCTGCAAACTTTTTTTCTAGCAGTAGGACTCTCCAAATATCTGTGGAAATGGCTGTCCTTTTCACTGTGATGGGTGCTCTTCTCCAAATATCTGTGGAAATGGCTGTCCTTTTCACTGTTATGGGTGCTAAGTATCCCATTTATGTAATTCAACAGAATTTGTTGATGTGGTTTAGACAGTGAAAAGTATCGTGCACTGAGATAGTAAAGACATCTTCTTTTGAAAGAACTTACTGATTATGTAGTATGCCTCAGTTTTCATTGTAGGATAAAAAGAAAATATCTGTGAAGCTATATAGATATTAAATTCCTAAATTATTGTGTCTATGCTAATTACATGAGCAGCATCTATTAAATTAATGTGTTGAGGTTTACTGTGAGAATTCCTGCATCTAACTTCTAGGTGTCAGTTTCTTGAATTGTGTATTCCAACACCAAACCTGGTAAGTTCTTTAAAATGTTATATAGGGAGTAGCTTGTGTGTTTCATTGATCAGTATGTTTATTCCAACATATATCTTACTGTACAGGACAATTTAAAGAACTCAGCAGGAAAAAACCCATGTGCAAGTACTTGGACAGTACCAGTGGCTGAGCTGTTAGCTCTTGTATTCAAGATAACTTCTTACAGAGCAACTCAGGGGATATATAGGCTCACCTTGGATTTGACCAACTGGGGAAGTGGTGCAGCTAGGCACTGCCACTACACTAATTATCATTGCAGTGTCTAAAGAAGCCTTTTGTGTGGTTGAAGGGCTTCCTGGGGCTGGAATGACAAAATAAAATAGCCCAGGCTGAGCATACACAGAACTGATGATTCAGTCAACCATCTAGTTCTTGTGCAGACATGTCCTCTTTGCAGTTGCACAGTGATCTACCAAAGTAGCGTTGCAGCTGTAGCCAGAAGAGTTGATGATCTAAGAAATTGAATTGGGACAGTCAGCTTTCTCAGTAAAGATCATCATGATCTCATGCTGAATGCTGGGGCTCAGGTGATGGTCTGTCCATAGCCAGGGAGAAGTAAAGTCCGCATTTCATAACACCCACAATATTGTGCTGACCATCAGGGCTTTGGAATGGAGAAGAAGAGGATGGGTGGGAGAGATGCTCTGTAAACCTCCTTTTGAAATTGTACTGCTGCAGAGACAAACTCACAAGGCCAGAGGCAGAGCATGTTAGAGAGTGTGTTATGATGGGATGTGGGTCTGAGTTCTCATTCCTGCAGAGTATAGATACCTCAGGAAATTTAAGGGCACAAACCTGGCTGTCTAAAGGATTATCAGTGGGGAATTTGTTTTATGCTCCTGCACGTAAATGCTTTTGTAACACTGAGCCTCAATGTCTTTCAACACCTAAAACAGTTTATGCTCATGCTACAATATGTTTTAAAATTGTTTTGCCATATGGTTATGACAGGAGAGGTTAAATATTGCCACACTGAGTGTAATTAATATCCTAATTATTTTTACTATATTAACTATGCAGTCTACCTTTTAATTAAAAGGAGAGTAAACTGGTTGCAGTGGAAACACTTTGCTCACAGTGCCGGAACTGAATGGTAAATACTGTTGAAAGTGTCATCAAATGCACTTAGTTTGCTTGCTTGTATCAGATATGTATGAAAACTGTTGGAAAGCACTACAGCTCTTTTTTAAAAAAAACATGAAATTTGACACATGGAAAAAGTGGTTAATATCTTGTTACAAATATCTGGAAATGAAATGTAAACACAGTTTCTTCTGTTGCAAGAATTGATCTTGTTCTCATTTGCATCAAGTATTTAAACTTCTGTAATCTTGACTTTAACAAGCAATCCAGTTTTTTCCTTTAAAATTGAGAAGCCTTTTTCTGATGGTAGACTTAGGAAATACTACCACTCTAAAATGTATTCATTTGTTGCTTTAGTTGCATACTCTGAAGTTGAACAAAGTAAGCCCTTGGTCTATACTGCAGTTCTTACTCTTTCTCATTATTATTATTTATGTATTTATTTATCTAACAACCAGAATTAGCTTGGAAGGTTTTCAAGGCAGTGTCATGTCTCTTGCACATTTTCTACAGAAAATCTACTACACTTGTAAGTAAATGACTGAAACCTTCAGCTTCTCAGGCAAGAAGCTCATTTGAAAGGATACAAAACCAGAGATTATCTGTTCCTTCTCAAGTAGACCCAGATAACTGGGCAGAGGAGGAAGGAGGATATCTGACTAATATGGACAGTGATGGTTTTGAAGACAACCCTGGTTTGGAGGGACCAGTTATGCTTTGAAGTAGGTAGAACAGCTTGATTGGAGAGAGGGAGGCATTTCATTTGTAACTTTTTCTGGTTTATGGGCATTTATTTTTATTTGTAATATTGGATTTTTTTTTTTTCCTGTGGAAGAAATAGGCTGCTTCTAAAAACTTTGGTTTGTAGTACTGTTCAAGCAAAAGAAAAATGATCACCCCCATTAGCTGTTGCAGTGCTATTAGTTTGCCAGTTGGCAAGGAACGCTCTGCTCTTATATATTACAAGAAGTGAAAGGTTGAATAAATGCTTAGTTGTATAATGTTTGAGTAAGAATCCTGCGGAGGTGGTATAAATTGTGTAATTTAAACAATGTTTTCAGACAATTGTAGCTTTATTTTTTTTTCTTAGCCTGTGTGTTTATGGAAAAGCATCATTTGATTATACAGGACGTTAGTTGTGGATTTGCCTTGGTGTCTAAAGTTAATAAACCCATATCATCAGAAGAATCAGAAATCGTCAGAGATAGACTATTGCAATTTTAACAGTAACAACTTTTCCAGTAAGATGTCACAGCCTTGAAGATGATCATCTTTTTCTTTTTTTCCTTGTAACTTGCTGGAAAAAACAAATGGATTTTTAAAGTTACAATATGAGTTTGAAAAGCATTGGAAACAAAAAAACTTAAGTGAATGTAATTAATATTAGAATGTTCTGACTTTCCAACAGCTTCCAAAAATTTTTATGTTTTGTGCTTGATAAAAAGTAATAATACATGTTTGAAAATGGAGGTATAGCCGGTACTTCTGGCACGTAGAAGGACAGATAACATTTGTTCATTTGTATTTTAACTGTTAACGTTCTGTGCTATAAGATTTTGCACGAAAATGGCAAGCTTCAGAAATAGAGATGTTTATTCCTTTTGGCCTGAACCATTTTCAGTTCCTTTCTGCCTACAAAGTACCAACTTCATAAATAGTACCACAAATGTAGAAGCTATTATGAGTTCTGCTATAAACCATACTTATTGGGTGCATGTACTTGAATAATAGGTCTTAGTCATCAGACTGAAAATTTGAGTGCTCAATCAGATTTAAAAGAGGATAAGCAAAGTTATGGGACTTAAATTAGGAGAGGAACCCAGGAGTTGTGTTCCAGCAGCAGCTTTTCTTGTATGCAAGAATATGCAGCTTGTGAGTTGGCTAATGAAGTATTATATATATTTTCATGTTTCTGTTCTTTGCTTTTATTACTGCACAGTGCTTTTTGCTCAGCTTTTAGTGTGTTC